CCCCCCCACCCCCCCCCCCCCCCCAAACCCCGAACACCTAACGGACTCTTTATCGTCGCTCATTCATTCAACTTTATCGTGGTAATTGCATCCTTTCCATTCATTTTGCGACGCCTCGTGGACCGACGCTTGTCTTTGTCTTCACTTCACACCTCCAAATCGGCCCAGAAACAGTTGGACTGCCTCAGCCTTTCTAACTTGACCTTCGCACACTCTTTCTGACCGAACCCTTGCTTGACCTTGAAAACGCTCCCTTTCTCCTGCGATCCGTCTACTATCCTCGGTCCTTGGAGCTATCATCTTGACGGACATCGTTCTTCTCTGACACCTTTTCGTTGCATCTTAGTCAAGGTCTCAAAAAGTGAAGTCAAAGTCAACTGGACCTCACACTTGCAAACGAAACAAACAACAACCACAACAAGATACGCTACCCTCATCTCGACCGACCACAAGGGCGCTCAACGAAAGAGAAAAGTGCGGACAAGAGCGCCGCCAGCAACAATAGATGACGCAACAGCCGTCACTTTACTGCCGCCGATAGAGAGAGCAGCGCCATGCCTCCCAAGCGCAAAAGATCCGATCACCGAGGCCTGCCCGACTCTGGCCCCTCCAGACCTCCCCCTCACCGACCCTCCGATACGTCGCTAGGACAGCATGACCGAGGCTATGATGGAGGACGCGGTGGCCGTAATGGGAGAAACGCCCGGAGACCCGATCGTCGCGACTCGAATCAGCCCTACAACAATCCCAACCCCCCCATACCCTCGTCCGCTTCCCGCCCTCCGAGCTCTTCCTCGGCCAACAACCTACCGCCGATAAACACTGCACCGCCAACACCAGCCCCAAACCCGATCGCGCCGGCGCCGGCGCCTGCACCAGCTCCGCCACCTCAGCCAACATACTCGGCACCTCCTTCACCCATTCAGCCCGGTTACGATTATAGCATCATCACCGATGATCGCGTCTCCAAGTGGTCCAAAGGCGCGCGTCAAGAAGTCATCGACCATGGTGTCCAGTCACGCGACGACGAGGACCTTACCGAGGTTGCCGCCATATTCCAGGAACTCATCCACTCTGCTGTCGACGGTCGTCTTCCCGGTTCCGATGCTGGCAAGGTGATCAAGGATATACTGGGTCCCGAGCCTTCGGAGGCTGATCGTGCCGCCCTGGCTTTCGATGCCCATACCCTGTTTCTCGACACCGTAGCCACCTTTATGGACGTGGAAAATGCGCCTTTCCGGCCCCAGCTCCGTGATCTCATGTACGCCACAGAGGTGTCGACCACCCTAATGCGGCAAATCCTTGACCCTGCAGTTCTCCAGCCACTGGGCCTCGTCCGCGATACGTTCGTGCGTGTGGGCATCCGGCAATCGACGAACTTGCTCTATCGCCAGGCGAATTACAATCTTCTGCGAGAAGAGACAGAGGGCTACTCTAAACTTGTTACCGAACTGTTTACGACTAGCAGTGCGGAACCGCCATCTTCTGAGGTCGTGCAGGCTGCCTTCAACAAGGTTATGGGCCTTATTGGAACATTTGACCTGCACCCAGGCCGCGTTCTCGATGTCACGCTGGACGTGTTTGCCTCAGTACTTATTAAACAGTTCAGGTTCTTTATCAAATTCCTGCGCGTGAGTTCCTGGTGGCCTCGTACCCAAATCAAACTCCCACCCGACACATTTGTTGGCGGTTTACCTATATGGGCCCTTCCCGACCACTCCAACTGGGTTGCGAGCGAGGAGGAAGAAAAGGCTATTGCTGCCCAGCGTTTAAAACGCGATGTTGCCTTCTGGGACAGAGCACGCAAGATTAAACTTGATGCATTTTTCGAGCTCGGCGGTAGGCAGGTCACCAACTTGGAAGACGAGGAGCTTCCGGATGCCAGCAGGAAGAGCGGACAGGAGAACAGTATTGAAAAGGATTGGATCAAAATCACCAAAACCCTACCACCTACCGGCAACCGTGATGCAGCCCAGATGCTGGGCTTCAAGTTGCGTTTCTATACAACTGAAGCTAGGGATAGTGAAGACATGCTCCCTGCAAACCTTCTCTATCTTGTAGCCCTCCTCATCAAGGTTGGGTTCATCACCCTGACAGATCTTTGGGAGCACATTTGGCCGCCGGACGACATGATGGAGGCTGTCAAAGAAGCCAGGTTCAAGGAGCTGGAAGAGAAGGAGAGGGCAAACCGACCAGGAGGTGCCGCTAATGCGTTGATGATGGCCGGAGCCCTTCCAGATGACATGGCCCCTCCTCCAATGAACAGTCGCCGCGACATGGCCCATGGAAAGACTGATGCTGATACCAAGTCCACGACCGAGACTGCCGAAGAGAAGCCCAAGCTTCCAGAGCCTGATGACCAAAAGGTTATTCTTCTCAAGTGTCTTCTCACGATTGGTGCTATCCCGGAATCTTTGTTCATCATAGGACGACATGACTGGATTCTTCAAGCGCATCCCGACCTTATTCCTCTTGTACACCGTATCCTTCACCACTCTGTCGAAACCGTCTATCAACAAAGCCGCCCTCAACCGAAATCTTCGTCTTCGGCCAATTGCCCTGGCAAGAAACTTCCAGACCCGGACCAATCTGGGGTTCCCAAGGGAAGTATTAGGCTCGCCGCCGTCACTCCTAAGCGCGCCTTGAGATGGCCGTTCCCGGACGCTGAGACCAGTGAAGGAGGTGGATACCGCTTTTACTGGGACGAGTGGGCGGATAATGTTCCTGTCTGTCAAACTGTCGACGACATCTTCACGCTCTGCGATACCTTGGTAAACGTAATTGGCGTGAGCATCGGCCAGGATGCTGGTCTGATTGCGAAGCTCACAAGCATCGGCGCCAAGAGCATGGCTGACGATCAGTCACCGGCCAACCGTTCCCGCTGGCTGTTGCTACTCAAACGCCTGCTTGTGCCTTCCTTGAGTTTGCTGGAAACCAACTCCTCGGTTGTTGATGGTGTCTGGACCCTTCTCAAACAGTTCCCAATTCATGTGCGATACAACGTCTATGCCGAATGGTACGAGGGTCAGACATCCCGACTCGAACCCATGAAGAAGGCGTTCGCACGAACCCGACTAGAGACGCTCAGTACCATGAAGCGTTTGTCTTTAACGAATATCCCACAGATGGCCAAGACCCTTGCCAAAACCGCTTATCCATCACCCGGCATCGTTTGCAAGGTCGCGCTGCAGCAAATCGAGTCCTATAGCAACCTGATTGAGGCCTTCGTGGAGTGCGCCAAGTATTTCACAGACCTTGGTTACGATGTCCTCGTTTGGTCTGTTCTTAGCTCTCTTGGTGGACAGCAGAGAAGCCGGACACAAGAAAGCTCGGTGCTGCTTACCAGCAAATGGCTCCAGGCCCTGTCCAGATTCTCCGGCAAGGTCTTCCTCCGCTACTCTACTATGGATCCCACACCTATCCTTCGTTATGTGGACAACCAGCTTTCCAAGGGTAACTCCACTGACCTCGTCATCCTCAAGGAGTTGATCTCTTCCATGGGAGGTGTGGTTTCAGACTTGGATTTCACCGATGCACAGCTTCATGCCATGACTGGTGGTGAGCTTCTAAGACGCGAAACTCTAACCAACTTGGGCGATAAGCGTTATACTTCAACCAAGAGTGCCGACCGACTCATTCAGGCGCTCATGACGAACGGACTTGCTGGCCGCCTCCTCGCCAACATTGCTCAGTACCGCCAAAGCGCCATTTCTGCGGTCGTTCAAGGCGATGCTCATATCAAGTACCTAGCCACCATGGCAGACGATACTCACCAGGTGCTACTGCAGTATCTGGACCTTCTCCGCAGTAGTCTTGATGGAGATACCTTCAACAACCTTGTTCCCAGTGTCATTCGACTCATGCGCGACTACGGTCTTGGGGCAGGTCTCGCGTTCTTGATCGGACGGGCCAGTATTCGCACGGCTATGAATCGAGTCCGAGGCCAGTCGGAGAGTCAGGCGCCGGTTGCCTCAGCTGCCCCTGACACGGACGGAGATGTGACCATGACTACAGCAAATGGCGATGATACTGTGAATACGCTTGCCGCCGACGGCCAAACTACAGCCTCGGCTCAAGGCGCAAATGAACGGAAAGTGGATCCCGTTTTGGAGCCTTTCCAACCTGTCATTGACGAGATTCCCACTGTCCTGTCAGAGGATACTCTCCGATACCTCACTCCCACCTGCTACGTCCTCTTCTGGGCTTTGCAGTTGGGCGACCTTTCTTTCCCGCAGGATAACTACAGTGACGAAATTAACAGGCTCAAGAAGCTTGCTAGGGAGGTAATGAATGACAGATCGGACATGACACGAGCTGGAATGAACAAGAAGACGCAGAAACAAGCCGAAATCAACGCTCGAGTATCATCTCTTCTCAAGGAAAATAGCGAAGAGCTCCAACGATACTCGAAATTCCGCTTTCAGCTGAGCAGACAGCTTACTACTTGGTTCCCGGCTGATATCACGAAAGTCGATGTGACGGCAGATACCATGCTTGAGGAATGCATCCTTCCTCGGTTGCAGCTTTCTGCTTTGGATGCCGAGTACAGCTTCAAGTTCCTCAAGTTCCTTCACGAGTTCTCAGCACCAAATTTCAAGCTCATGTCACTCTACGACCGACTATTCAACCACAACAGGCTCCGCAGTATGCTCTTCACTTGCACTGTACGTGAAGCGGAGCACATCGGTCGGTTCTTGAAGTGCATTCTCAGCGAGCTCTCGAAGTGGCACGGTGACAAGAATGCTTACGAGAAAGAAGCATTGGGCTCGAAGGAGGTGCAAGGAAAGAAGACAAGGAACTACGTTGGTTTCGCTACTGCTTTTGACGCGGATGGGAAACCCACGGCTTTTGTTGAACACGATGCGTTCCGTGACCTCCTCTTCAAGTGGCATAAGGAGCTCAACTCAGCACTAAGAGCATGCCTCAATGACATGGAGTGGATGCATATCAGGAATGCCATTACCGTTTTGAAGGCTGTCATCGACTTCTTCCCAGCAATCAACTTCATGGCCGAGAAGTTCTTGGAGCAACTCAAAACCATCACTGAGCGAGAGGCTGCATCCAAGAACGCTCCTGAGACCGAGGAAGGCCATCGAGTCGATCTTTCGGTCACAGCACAGACGGCGTTCTCTGAGCTACAGAAGAGGAAGTCCAAATGGATCTTGGTTCAGGCATTCCGCCCTGGTACAGTAAGTGCATCGGCTCAGGCTCCGACGCGTACAAACGCTGACCGAGCACAGACGAGTGATTCGAAGGAGGAAGGCAAGTCCTCTCTTCGCGCTGCGACAGTAGCCCTCAAGCCCAGTTCTCATGGGCGGAAACAAACCGCCGCCGAGGTTGAAGATGGTGAAGTCAAGGATAACAGAAGTGGAAGTGCAAGATCTAGCGCGGGCTCTGGAAACCAGAAGGACTCGACTCCGACAAGAAACCTCCCTACTAGGGAAGCGCAAAAGGACGCTAATCCTCCACAAAGATCGATGGGAGGTAACGGGCCGCCTCCTCGACCTCCAGCGCCTAACGCAGGCCCGCTACCGTCCAAACTCCCTGGAAACCGCAATGATGTCAACAGACCATCAACTCTAAACCCTGGCGGCCGCGGCCTGCCCAGCAATCCTGATCTGCCAAGGAGACCAGATGTGCCAATTCCAGAGGTTTTCAGCGCCAGTCAGTTCAACCGAGGCCAGCACAACATGAACAACAGAAGAGAGCCCCCTTCATCTAGGGATAGCCGTGATGCCCGAGAGCCGCGTGAGACTCGGGAGCCGCGCGAGACACATCCCCGTGAAACGAGGGAGCCTGTGCATGGTCGGGATAGCAGAGACTATCGAGCCCCGGAAACGTCACGCCCTGAACGACCGCGCGACTTCCCATCAACCGACAGGCGTCCCGCGGAACCGCCTACAAGGGACTCGTCTCGCCAAATCGATAGGGATTGGCCGAATCGTGCAGAACTCCCACCTCGTTGGACTGAGCCTGCAGCTGCTCCTGGCCGTGATGGCCGGCAACCACGAGACAGAACGCCCCACGGTGCTAACCGGCACGATGGAAGACTCTCTAGGGAAAATGCAGGTGCGGCACCTTCACCGGCTGCGCCATCTCACAATGACGCACCAGAGCCGCCTATCAACCCGGAACGTGCTCGACTTCTAGCAGAAGCCGAACAGAAGCAGTCTCTTCCCACCCCACCGAGAGCTGCCGAACAGCAGCATTCTCACATCAACCCGGCGAGAGCTGCTCTCATCACCGACATTCGTGAGCCGCAGGGCCGTTCCTCGTCCAGGGACCAAACTCGCGAACGGCCTCCTCGTACGGAATCTCCCAGGGCATCTGAACGGTCGGCGAACAGCCAAGCCGATAACGCTCGCGACGACCGTCAAGGTCGCCATCGACATGCGGATTACCACAGCAGCAGCCGTGACGGTCATGCTCACGGAGATAGCGGATCGTTACATGGCCGCCTAGACCGCCCCGCTGAAATGGAGAGACCAGGAGGATCCAGAGATGGTTCATACAATCAGCCTCCTCCTCGTGGCATGGACCATGACCATGGCAGACCTGTCCAACAAGATCCTAACTACGGTAGGCTGAATCCTATCCAGTCAGTCGTCGACAGCGGACCGGCACCAGTACTGGCAGCGACTTCGGGGTCCGGTGGTCCACCTCCATCAGGCCCACGGGGTCGTGGTAGGAATAACGCTAGAATGGGTCCTGCTAATGGAGTCCCAATACGTCCCGACGGCCGGTTCCCGGGCATGGAAGCCAACCGTACCTCTTCACCCGATCGTCAACCCCCGACTGGCCCTTCGTCTTCCCGACAGTCGCGTAGAGGTCAGTATGACAATGCAGGCGGCAATGTCAACGCAACACCTTCTTCCCTGCCTGCCCAATCTCCGGGTGTCCATCCTGATCGGATGAGCCACATCAACCAGCAACCACAGCAAAGCGGTCAATCAAGTCAGCAACAACAACCACAAGCTGGACCTCCGCCGCCTCCGCCCCAACCTCCTTCGGCTCCGGGCGTTCATCCTGATCGGTTGAACCAAATCAATGGTCCACCTAGCCATCGACCAACTGGCCCAAGTGCCCATAACCGGCCTCCGATCAACACCCCAGATCGGCCCTCCATGTCTGCACCCAACAACAGCGGACGGCAACAACCGTCTGGACAGCATGGCTCGAACTTCGTCACTCCTACCGGCCCATCAGCTTCTAACAATGACCGCATGCGATCTGGCGGAGGAAGCAGACAGCTTCGTGGTATCCAGAACATGCTTGACAAAGCATCCATGGACGCTCGTGGGCCTGGTTCGCGCATGCGCGGGTCGTCAAGAATCAACACCATGGTGGACTCGGATGCCCAAGTACTAGCTGGTGCATCACCTGGCAACACACCTGTCAATGACAGGCCCGACCCCCTCAGAGACATTCGGGAGAGCGGTTCGCGCAGGGAAATGAGCACGGATCGCGGCGATCGGGAACGGGACCGTGGCAGAGACACCAGAGATCGGGAACCTAGAGATCGGGAGCCACGTAGTGGTCTGGCGCCCATCCAAGTTGTCGGCGACAGTCGTGAGGATTCCTCGTCGATCCCACACGGCGGTCATTCCCGTGGTGACGTGAACGGAGAAGGGTACGGCTCCAGCAGCAGAGGAGGAGCCGGCGGCGACCACGAGCGCGGAAGTAGCCGGCACCATAGCTCTCGTTCGGAGAGAAGCGACAGACCTTCGAGAAGAAGCAGCCGTGAGCGCAACCCTGGTGGTGGTGGTGGTGGTGGTGGTGGTGACGGCAAGGAATCGAGCTCTAGAAGCGACTATTCCAGGGAAAGCAGGAGCCGCGGCGGCGGCGGTGGCGGCGGCCCATCGACGGCCAACGCACCTGGTGGCCCCAGTGCCGACCTTATGACGGGCGGGTCGTCGCGTGACCGGAGATCCGGCCGCGATTCAAATGCAGGCAGCGGATCTGGTCACAGAGGCGGTGGAGGAGACATGCCGCCGCCACCACCCTCAAGAGAACCCAGTCACCGCGGCCATGGCAGCCACAGAGGTGGAGGCGATGGATCAGGTCATAGCCAGGGTGGAGCGCCGCCTATGGGAGGTGGAAGGAGTGATGGCCATGGTAGGCCACCTCGAGAATCAAGATCATCCAGGCCTAGCGGACCTGGTGGTGGTCATGATGACATGAGAGGAGGCGGTGATGACAGGTCAAGGAAACGGAGAGGTGATGGAGTAATCGATTCGTCTCAGGGGCTTGGAGGCCATCAGGACAAGCGGCCGCGTCGCTAGTAGCAAGGCGATCCGCATACATCTGATGAGTTGATATTCCAGACAAGGGAAAATAAGGAAGAGGAGGCGGAGCGGAAGAGAAAGGAGTACAAAGAGAAGCACTGGAAGATGATGGCGAAGTCGAGAAATGAGCCCACCATGTCAGCCGTTGCACACGGTGACCCAAGCTTTACCCCGAGTATGTGGCAGCGTCCTGGTAGGATACTGGATGATGTACGCATATCGACTGTAATGAGGAGGAACTCACTAGAGGCATATCCCGCTGATATTCCATCACGATTCCGTATCCAGATGGGGATAAAGGAAATCCAACGAAAAATTGACGAAATCGTGAACAAAAACAACAACTAAGGACAACGTGACTGTCCGCCATCCATGAGGGTGAGAGCGAAAAGGTCAGCGAACGACAACTATCCATTCTACCTGTACATTATTACAAAAAACAAAACATTGTGCTTTTGCCGCATTGTTTGCATTGCATGCATGGATTCGGTGTAGTCGTTTTGTTATTTTAGACTTAGGCTACATACTTGGTATGGGTATGAGGGTATGTATCCTATGGTGATGATTTACTTGGGGTAACAGATGACGTCGCATTTTTGTCAGCTCGAGCGTGACGATGATGATAATTCAAGAACAAAAAAAGTAGCGAATTCAATGTTGAACCTGAACTCTAGACTAACTTGCTTGTCGCAAAGGTATTAATATATTTTAGGGTTTCCTGTCTTCCATTCAAGACACCTTGTGTGAAAGTATGATGAAAGTATGTTTACCCGCCCCTCCTTCTCCTCCCAAACCAAACCAAACCAAACCAAACAACAAC